AAAACTCAAAAGGTGTTTAGTTTGTCCAGTCTGGACTAATGTAAAAAACATTGTGGCCTCCGTAGAGAGCGTCCCCTCGATGTAAATATAAAGTATTTAAATATAAAGAGTCTTTTCTGGGGTAAAGAAAACTACAATTCATACAATTTAGATGAAACAAACTCGTTAAAAATCATGATGATTATTCTACATTGAATTTCTGCCAATAGATCCCTTTCACCTAAATCTTACACACTGGACCTTTAAAGGGATTGTTTCTCCAAAAATGAAAATTCCCTCATTATCTACTCAGCACTATGCCGATGGAGCGGTGGGTGAGGTGTTTGAGTCAACAGAACACTTTTGGAGTTCCAGGGGTAATCAGTGTTGCAGCCAAATCCAATACAATTGAAGTAGCTGCAGCTTTCGTGATACTCACTGCAGCGCTAACTAGGAGGAAGATATCAGAGGAAACTTAGGCTAAAAACTTGGTGTAGATGACGCAGTTTCACTCGATTTTAAATATCGGGGCTTACGGACACCTGGATGACACCACAGGAGCAGTACGGAGGCATTTATGTCTTTCTTTTATTTGGCTGCAACACTGTTTACCCCTGAAAATCCAAAAGTGTTTTGTGGACTCAAACACTTCACCCAACCCCCATCAGCATAGTGGTGAGTAGATAATGAGTGAATTTTCATTTTTGGGTGAACTATTGACCATCATATGGAAATGCATAAGGTATAGAAAAGGTGGAAGCAGTTTGTTGACACTGCAGATAACACATCATCCATAATAACTCATGCAGTTCCTGTTCTGAACCTGCCTGTTCTCTTTTCATGTGTTAGTGCTCTGGAGCTACTTCAGATTTATTCCTTGTCAATAGTGAGTCCTCCTCAAACAGTTCTACGATACACTGACACTTTTTAATGTTTGTGTGCTGGACGTTGTGTGCAGAGCTTTTTATAAACAGTGCAGAGGAAACTTCGTGTTCATCCTGCCTGGTTTATCTGCAGTGAAGATTTTATCAGTCAGTGTTTTTCATAAGCATAAAGCGTTACAGAGGCAAAACAATGGTTGCTCTTTTACTTTGAAGACACAAGTGATAAAGTGAATGCTGCTGCCATGACAGAGATACACATTACAGTCCTGTGAATGTCTGTCAGTCCAATATAGCGAAACAAAATATCAGATTATCTAAATGATATGGTGCGACAGGTATTATTGGCCAGAGCGCTTGTCATTAATATTGAATGTGTACAGTTTGCAAATCGCACCGAACTTGGTACCGCACTTCCTGTGTAAAGACGATTAGATGGGCGGTCCATGAGATATGTGTTCCACATACAGACATATGTGGAATAAGTAGGTAGATGCCTCATGTTCGTGTTACTCTGCAAGAAACACCATTGCATCGCATGATGTCACAGTGGCACTGTTGAGTAACAGCGATGCAGCTAATTGTGGCCTCTGTTTGTATCATCATTGCATCGAGCACATTCCTCTGAGAAGTACTGAGTAACACTGCTGCGAAATGTACCTCCATGCCCCATATATAAGAGTGTGAACAGTAAATTAAAGTGTTTAAATGAGATATTTAAACTGGGAACAAGCATATTTTCATACAGCTAGCCGTCAAACCCATCAACTGATTGCAGCTCGTCATGTAAAAGGAATTATTCAATTATGAATCACCTGAAACAAATTTAAATCTAAGGACAACAGGATAAACTTGCTCACGTCTGAACACATTAACGTCACGTGTTCAGAAATCCAAATGAGTTTCCTTGATGCTTTTTGACAGCAAGCGTTTTCTTGTAGTGTGTAATCTCTGTTCTCACGCTCTGTTCTGGAGTGTGTGGCCATCAACCAGGTCAGGTTTCTTATTCACACCGAACGTGTCAGAGGCTAAAGTCAGGCTGAGGACAATGACTGACAAATGCTGTGCAGACTAGAAGAACACAACCCTTAACTGCGGATTTTAAGACACGTCTTCACTAGTACGGTGTCTTATTTTGGTTTCATGTTACATTTAATGTAGCTTATCGACCATTCAAAAGTTGTCGTTGAGCCCTGAGGCTCAAATCGAGACGGATCCTGTTTATTCTTTTCGGTGTGTGGATTCAGATTGTCTTTAAACCTTACACAGACAAAAGCATGAGAATATTCATGTTGTGTTGACCTAATGGGTTGTAACCTGCCAACCCAGAACAATGTTTATTCTACAATATGAAATGTTCCTGTTCTAGTTCCACATGTGGCCCGGTTGATATGAGTAGGATTAAAAACAGAGCGAGACGCCCAGGCCCGTGGCACTGCAGTCCTCTATGGATAAGATATCCTTTGGCCACAATATTACAGTACACAAATGTAATCGTGATATTATTGTGAGATAAACCCTGAGGACATCAGTCAGTGCTTTACAGAGTAACGTGACTGGACTTGCTGTTGAGACACCGAATCCTGTTGTTGGTGCTGTCTCATTTTACAGGTTTATTTTCATAATGTTACTTTGGGTTTGACTAAGTTGAGAGTGCTCCCAACCATTACAATTTTACTTTATATTTATATGGAGTAAATTTCAACATTTAAAAAAGAATTGTTTGTGTTTTATTTATTGTTTTGCTTGTGCTTGAATTATAGTTAATATTGACAACATTGGGATTAAAGCTGAATCGATTACTAGACAATGAATTGATTAGTCAATTGTGGGGAAATTATTAATGGTCTAAACTATTTTGGTAATTAATTAAGTCTTCTAATTTTCGAATCAGAAATATGCTCCTGTCCAAACCTTTTCATCATTGTTAACAGAATTTATGTAGGAAACATTATAAGAAACAGATTACACGTTTAAAAAAAACATTGAAGTTTTTCTCTCTGGGCTTCGATGAAACATCAGACATAACAAAACCAGCCATTGTTGTGTGTGCTGAGTTTGATAATGGAAAGGAAATACTGTCTTTGCCAATCACGCCCGACTCTACCAAACGTTCGGATTTGTTTGAGCAAGTTGTTTCTGCTCAAATCAGCTGAGTCGCATCACTATCATCATCATCATCATCATCGCTACCATCTCATATCAGGCACCTCGCTAAAGAGAAGCAGTTCCATTTGAATAATTACTGTGATATGAACAATGTCATAGAAAATAAAATGGCCCTGGATAGGATAAGGGTTCCCACCCCTGGTCTAGACGGCCGTGCAGCTTTGAAATCATGCACTATTCACAGCTGAGAGTGAAGTCACAGAGGATCAGGTGTGTGCAGAAGATACAGTTACTCTTCCCTCCCTTGCTCTTTTCTGCCTGAAGACTCCGACACTGTAGCTGTTGTAGTTTCATCCACAGTGGTGGTGACCTCACTGACCTTAAGGCTGTAAGCTTGAGCGTCATATGTATGGGAGCGTATATACATCTCACATCGCTCGCCATAAGAAGGGGAGCTCAGGTGTTGTTGTTTGTTACTTTTAAATAATCATCATTTATTCCTGGAGCCGCTCAGTTCACTGGCTGCATCACGTTCCCCCTTTTGTTTCTGGCTGTTGACAAAATATTTCTTTCTATACAGGAGACAAGTGTGCACAGTTACATTTAAATGTATGCATGTATAGTAACATGACTATTTCCTCTCTAGGTATCTGGTGGATGGGGAGAAAATGGAGGTGAACAGAAGAGAGGTGCCTCTATATGTAAGTGCCTCCATGTTTCTGCTTGTGTGATTCTCTTGTGTGCAGGGTCTGTTTTTTTGGGAGTGGTTGGTCGAGTACATGAACCTTGAATCCCTCCTCTGGGTCACTCTCTCACATTTAGACCCAATTCTGTTTTTTGTTCTCAACAGAATTAGATCACTCCTCAGTCTCCCCCCCCCCCTCTCTGTCTTAGTCCTGACTCTCCATCTGTGCACTGGTTGACTGGCCAGCCTTGTGTCACAGGTGAAACCCAAGCCAGGAGGGTTTCAGTCCCTGGGGAAGCCGGGGCCTTGCACAGCCTGTTCACCAACTGACGAGGCCTCCTGAAAGCATGGCTGTCACTGTGAACATGGGGCCCAGAAAGAGAGAATATACCCATTTGTTTCTTTGCTTTTTTAAGATTCTACTCACCTTTTTTTCAAATTAAACAAATACACATTTTACTTCTGGAAAGTGTGTTATGGAGTCCAGTGTGTGCAGTTGTTTGAATTATTGTTTTAAACCTTTTTTTTTGACGTAGTAAAACTCGTGCTGTTACTTTCGTTTCTTCCATCGGCCTTCCTGTTCTCTCCTCAATCCCCCCCCTCACTCACTCACTCTCTCTCTCTCTCGCTCTGCCCCTCTCTCTCACCCCTATTCTCCTGTCTGCGTGGAAGCCTGGGTGGGCCACTCACTGAAGCGTTGCCAGATTTCTGGTAAGCAGAGTGTCGGCTTGTTTTGCTGTGTCACCAGTTTCAGACAGGGGGGTGGGAGGCTCGCTCCCAAACCTTTGCTTGTACTCGCTGGTAGAGGCTGATTGAGGACCACTCTGAAACCCTGGCATGTGAATCATTGCGGGCTCTACAACCCCACACACACATACACACACACCTCTCCATTAAGAGGAAGTGGCGTCTCCACCCTCGAAGGTCACAGCTCAACAGGAGCAACTCTCGCTGCTGAATGAGATCCAGATTTCAATGGCGGCCTTTGTGTGGACAAGCCACAGCACACTGCTGCGAAATAAAGGCTGTTATTGTAACACGCCTGGTAAAGTTTTATGGTGCACCTCCACACGTTCAGCATAGTGTCAGACCCACAGGAGATACTGTTAGGCCAGATCAATGGATAAATGGCTGCATTCAATTGCAGGCAGAAAGTGAGGGGGTTTAATGAGGTTTTTATTGCGCTCCAGTGCAGGACTTCATGTCAGAGGTATTCTGTCGTCCAGGTGTGCGCACAACTGGTCGGACGTTTTACAACACCTCAGTTTTTCCCGGCTGTTATTCAAATTTGCGGTTTAATATCTCATGGATCCTTAAATCAAAGATTTTGTAAGTGGAGATTAAAAAAAGGATTCATAGCACTTGACCGTAATTAAATTTTTTGGTTCCGCTAGCAGCTGCACATACTCTGTCCTTATGCACAATATTCTTTTGAAACTTCTTTGCACTTTATTAGTTTGCTTAACTTCCCCCTTCTGTTCAGTTCATCCCAAACCAGCTCCATGGTTGATGGCTACAATCTAAAACCATCCCTTTGTCCACTGAAGTGTTTTTGTGCTGAATCAGTTCAATCCCTGTCTATACTAACACACCTGAAAACTTCTGTCACATTGTGCATGCGCATGCCGGTGTAAACAGGAAGCATTTGGTTGTTCATTGCAAAATTGTTGCTTGAATAATAGCTCGTCTCCTGCACATGTGAACAGTTGTATCAATGTAAAATGCAGAATTTAACACAACAGCTGTTAGCAAAGACAACAGGGTCAGCAGTGCTTGATTATTCATGTTGCGTTCTGTACTGGTAGCCGAGGCTGATGACGGTTATTTTCCTCCAGAGGAGGGTCGTGCAAAGAGCCTGATGAATCAGCGAAGGCTACGCTGTGACCAAAAAGACCCAATAAGCAAGTGGTCATGAGTGTCTACGTCATAGTTTCCAAACATTACAAATTCTGCCCGTACAGACAACAAAGTAGCACCAATGTTTTCAAAATATATCGGGGCCAGCAGCATTTTCTGAACTTTTTTGCTTTAGCGACTCTAAAACTTCAGAGTTGTGTGGACGCCAGGTGTATTCTAGTTGATCCGTTTTCACACCAAAGTGTAGTAATGTGATTGTAGCCTAAGTCTGGAGACTGAGCTGCTCCACGTGGATCTGTTCCTCTAATGCTTTGGGTGATTGTCTTCCTGTCTACGTTCCTTTTTAACTGGCACAATAAACAGTACTACTTCCTGCTCTGAGGATGTTCCTGGTTGACATTTTGAATGCGGCTTGAAATGTCTCAATTGAAATGTAACTATTGCAACTATCACCTCAGAGGATGACTCATACAAACTTTGGCGATCTAAGTTGTATTTAGTACAGTCACCACCAAATACCAACAAAACCGTTCCCATTTCTGCATTAAGTGCTTTTACATAAAATTAACAAAAACCTTGCCAACATAACATGAATGTTGCCATGGTTACTGTGAGCGTGTTATCTCACTTCAGCACAATGTCATGCTGACTAATGGAGCTAGATTAGCTATATCCTCGTTGTACCATGTTTGTTCAGTTTCCAGTAAGGTTTGATTGGGATGCTTATCACATGCTCTTTGTATTAGCAAGGTGCTTTTCTTGGTTTATGGTTTCTGTTTCCTCCTTTAAGTGCTGTACTGATTTTGTTTAAAGTGACTTTCTCAGGTACTGCAGATCCAAAAAATCAACACTGTAATGATAAACTATTTATAAAGCACTTTTCAAAAGAGCTTTTACAATGAGAGACACAACAAATCTATAAAATTGACATATAATGAAAGAAAAAAACGCACAGATAAAATCAAGAAAGGCTTTTTGGTAGAACTACGTTTGGATGTACCTCCACCAGTATAAATAAAATAATCAAAATAATCAAAAAACTCAGATTCAATTTAAAAAATACTTTTTAGTTTGTTTTAAGAGAAGATACTGACTCTGCCGACCTAATTTCCTCGGGCGGGTCATTCCAGAGCTTTGGGTCCCTGGCTGCAAAGGCTCGGTCCCCTTTTAACCCGGTCTGTGGAACAGTGAGAAGACCCCTGTTCGAGGATCTCAAGCTATGCAGAGGTTCATACGGGATTAAATGGTCTAAAATATAATCAGGAGCAAGGCCATGCAGGGCCTTGAAGGTTTTCAACAATATCTTCAAATCAACCCTAAAACAAACACAGCGATGCAGTGAAACAGGTGTGATATGATCAAGCCTCTTAATCATCATGGTTATTGCTTTCAGTAAAACCAATAACAAAATCAAAACAAATTCCACAAAATCCAAGCACTTCTGGGTATTATTACATAAGAGTGAGTCGATACTTGGCAGCCGTCATTTGATGGGAAATGTTTGTGACACCATGCCAGTTCTACTGACGGCCTTTTCTGACATGTACACTTGGTATTAGTATCTCATTTGCACAGCAGATTAAATCGGAGGTATGTGTTTCAGCGCTGTCTGAGAACAGGCCCGCAGTACAGTGCTAGTTGTCACACTCGAGACTGCAATGAGACTCTGGTCCACTGACTTTCTTTCAGCTCATATGAGTTGCTAATGTCAGTTGAAATGTTGTCGTACACGTTTTACTTTTGAAAAATACTTTGCTTGATTATTAACTTGAATGTTAATAGGCTGGATGGAACATGTTGTTGGTAGAATAGTCCAAGTATGAGCTTTTTCCTCAGTTGTCTGTTGCCTATTGATCAGAGCCAAACTATTGTGTTATACAGATTTAAAGTGACTCCAACAGAAGTCTTGTTTTCACTGTAATTTTATAAAAGGAGTTGTTGAGGCTTTTTCATGAGACAAAAAACTGTCCCTTGTGTCAGCTCCGTTACAGCAGCTCCTTACTATACAGTGAAAAATACTTAATATTAAAAAAAAAAAATAAATACTGTGTCCGTGCTGACGTCAAGGCTGCCGGCTCACTAAGACAACTGACTGTTATTGGAGCTGTTTTTGTTTTTGCAGTGGCATTGATCTTGCTCCCCTGACGTCACCTACGTGTTGCTCTCAAGAGATCATGACAAAGAGCTGCAGACCTGATGACTGCTGGTTTCCTGGAGACCACATACAGTTTTTTCCCCCCACTGGCCAGACAACAACATGTGGGGATTACAAAATCATGCCGCTGTTGTTTTAAGGGAAATCAGTATTAAATAGAATACCCAATAATTGTTATGTCATTTAAAGGTAATCCTGCATGGCATTTGTTGCCTTTTTCATTTATAGTGAGCTCTTCCGTAAGTGAGAACCTCCTCATCTTCCATAATTAACACATTATGCTTAACCTGAAAACTGCCCATATGGGAGGCAGGAGGTAAAAGCACGAGGTGTTGAATATTTCATTGTCACTGGATAAGGCTGTGTCATGATAACGCCAAGGAGAAAAGGCCATAGATCACATCAGTCTGACATCTTATCACCACCCTGCCACACTCCTTCCTCTTTCCTGAGGCACAGGAGATACAGTTTGGGTCAAGCAAATTCTCTCTGATTAAATTGTGCTGGTGTAAAGCAATATCGTCTGAGGCTGTTGCAGACTGTTGGGACCATGAAATGAGAGCTGGAGCGTCCTCGGAGGACAGAAAACGAAATCAGAAGATATTGGAAAGAAGTGTTCACATATTGCGTTGTATTTCATAGACTATTAAATCTAAACGCTGGGAAACAATAGATTAAATACAATACCAAAGACAGGCAATGGATAAAGCGTCCTGATGATTTATCAGATTTATCAGAAGGATAATTGACCCATGACAATGGATCCAAAGCCATGAGGGCCGTGGCCCCTGCTGAAATCTAATTGGCCTCTGAAGTGCCCCTGTCTTGTCAGAAGACTTTTTTATTTCTATTTTTATATGTAAACTTTTGTGAAGTTCACAATGGGCTTGAACAAGGAACAATTTTTATAAACATATTCAATCATGTGTCTTTGCTCGAAGCCATAGAGCTATAGCAAACACGGAATGTCTTAAATGTGCACCTCACTGAATCAGGAATTGTGCATGGCTGTTAACATAAAACTGGCCCCTCTGTGTAAATTGTGGACCCTTTATGGCCCCTGATTTAGAAAAGTACTAGATCCAGCAGTGAATTGACCAGATCTCTGTACAAGTTTATGCAACAAATTGCCAAATGAAATTTACTGTAGGAATGATTCTTTTAATTTTCTAAATTGATTCCTTGAGTCTGTATTGCCTGAAATCAGAATGTCTGCCCAAACCATGCACGGATCGACATCTTATCTTTACGTTATGTGGAAAAACAATCAGTGATAACGTTAACAGTGCTAAGTGCACACTAAGTGGTCTTGCTGCTCACCACTTAGTGTGCAGAATCTGCTGCTCGAGTCAGACCTCCATTATCAGTCTTAAACACATGAGATCAGTTGTAGTTCGTCCTCTGACTCACACTGGACTGGACTCAAAGAAGTAACTGTTGAAAGCTCCATGTTGAGTTCAGGGACACAGTGAGTACAAAGGGAAACTGATGTCAGTGTTAATATCCAGTAATGTAGACTTTACATTCACCCCATTATTGATTTGTTGACCAGGAAAATATGGCCTTTCCCTTTAAGGTTGTGTGAGAAATCTTTGGCCTGTAATAACATTTGACCTCTGAGCACGTCCAGAGTAGTTAACATAGTGTATTCTCATGGGAAAAAAAACAGCAAATGATACCCTACTTTTACTTGTTTATTTATTACATGTTTATTTTATCCAGACTAGTGGCAAAAAAGGAAATATTCGTACTGCTTCAGAATACTAGTAAAAAATAAAGTCATTCAAACCACTATGGGGTGAACAATATGGTTAACAGCATGAAAGCATTATCATGGTGGGAATGTTTTCTTGCTGACATCAGCATTTAGCCCAAAGCGCTGCTGTGCTTAGGTAGAGCTTCACCGAGCTGCTGTAGCGTGGCTCCTAGTCTTGTGTGATAATACTGTAGATTATATTTAATCCATGCACACTCTTAACTGTAATTGTCACCTGTGTGTGCTTCGCTCCCTTGCGTTTAGTGAGATCCTGCTAAACTGTTAAGACTCTGGACCACAGCGATGCACAGAGAAGCTGCGAACGTTAAGATGATGCAGGGACTAAAAATATATTTAAACATGATGGATGCCCCCGCCTAAAGTGCTAACAATAAGAGTGAATTAAGGATGGCCCATAAATCACAAGAGAAAGCCCGAAGCTGAGCACAAGAAAACAGAAGATAAGATTGCACAAGCTTGGAACTTACAGATACACTGTCTTACAAAGTTCAGTCTCTAGAGGAGGTTAACTAAGTTCTGTGGTTTCTATTGTTAGGACATCCATATAAGTGTTGAGGATGGAAAATATGTTTTCCTACATAACTGAATTCTCACAAATTCCCACATTTTGCTATCCTGCAGAAACATATGAGATGCATTGACCACAGTGGGAAACAGACAGAAAATCTTGATTTCTGTGTAAGGACACCACAAGCTGTGTAATCTAATCTTTCTGCTCGTCTTGCCCTCCATGTGTTCTGTTGTCAGTATGACAGTTTTTTTTACTTATCTTTTCTTATCAAAGCTGTTTAAGCCTCATGTTATGGACAGTCTGTAACGCTTATGTACAGATAAAAAAGAATCCAAACACATGTTTACAGATGGAACATAAAGAGGAACCTGAATGATGTCACTGAGTGTCGACGTACACTGTCACTTGGCATTGTTTTGTGTGACCTTGTTTTACTTGTTTATTTTCCTTTTTCATTTTATTTCTTTGTTTCGTCCGTCTGTTTTAAGCACTTCTGTTCATTCCATGTTCTGTAAATGTTTCCAAATGCCAATTAAGTGTTAATCGAAAGATCAACCTGTAGTCTAAAGGCAATAGTGAACAGTAAAATGCAACAGAATTTACACCAGAGGGTCCCTCAGTAGAGCCCATACCTCCGCCAAGGCCCATCAGTCCCCTTATGAAACTACATTTAAATTCACTAGATCTGATTTTTATTTTGATCTGTGCTTTTTTGCACACTCTCATAAATATCAGGCACCTAAACTATTTGTAAAACAATTTTTTTAAAACAAGATCCATTAATTATTCTCTGAGATATCAATGAAAATGTGGAAAAACGCCCTACCTCGTAATGTTGAAGAACGTGCAGATCTGCTCCAAAATGTATTGGATTCTTTCCTGACCCATCACATCTTTCCTCCAAGTTTTGCGGTCATCTGTCCTGTAGCTTTTGCCTAATCCCACAATCCCCTCAACACACAAACAATCAGGCGAAAACATAACGTCCTTGGAGGATGTAATAACTCAACCGACAGGAAAAGAACAAACCCTCATAAACAAAATAAAAGCCCCCACCACGTTTAACCACACTGCAAAAAACAACAAAAAGATAAAGTTCTAGTACATCTATCCATATGTTATACTCTGAATCATAGAATTTCACAATCTTAAATTTTGGGAGATTGTGAGCATCTTTGAGGTGATGAAGAAAACAGTAGAGTTCATACGAGGTCGGTAAAAAAAAAAAAAACAAGGTCACTGATGTAACCGAAATAATGAATCTCATTATGAAGGTGGATCATGAAGTAGACGCTCAGTGGGGTGCAGCTCTCCCCCATTGTGAGAAAATGACTGGTGTCTTTCTCTGCTTTTTTTCTTCCCCTGCTTGCTGCCCCATTTTTCCTCCCTCCATCCACCACAAGAATGACTGTGAACTTTGTGAAATTGACTGAAGCAGATTAGACGGTGTCAGCGGGGTGACCACAGAAGATATTTCCCTTCTAAAGAAAACTGTTTGGCCAAGTTTCCTTCCTTATTTCCACCTTAAACTGGAGCCATTTGCCTCGATTTTATTGACAATAATTCACTTTGCCGGTGTTGTAAACTGAATGGATGGATTTTCTTTTTCCTGTCTCAGGGACAAGTGGAGGCCAATGTGAAGTTACAAGCCAGCGCTCCTGAAGAGGCAGAGTTTTATGTGGTTGTACAAGGTTCCAGACTAACACATGTGACCGCAGCAAAAAGAGGAGATGATGGGATGAGCCTTTGCTTCACAGTTCCTGGTAAGTCTCTCAGTCACCTTAACAACACCCAGGTTTCATTACTTGCCTGTCATTAGCTGTGTCTTAATGTGATTGCTGCATCGATCTGAGGCTACATTTTGAAGACAGATTGCGGTGCGATCATAGGAAAGCTCCACAGGTTGGATCCTTCTTGGCCCGGACCATCCCAGGATTCATTGTACTTCAGTGACAAAATGTTTTTCAAAGAGTTAATGGCACCTGCAAGCAACAAGATGTCTGAGTTTAAATCTTCTAGTCGATGAACAGGTAATGTTACATGTTAAAGAACCAAGGGGTATCAAAATGTACTTGTGAGACGAGCTGGAGACGCTGGTCACGGAAAGCCTCAGTAGAACAGATCATTTCGGTTTTGTGCTCTTCGTGGGTTGGGTAAATGAAGGATGCAGCCTCTGAATTAAGACACAGCTATTGCCTCATCTGACTCCAAAGATCTGTCCTGATTTTCATCTGTCTCCCATAGGTCACGACCTCGTGGAATGTGTCTCTGTCACATCCTACTGTCATGCAGAGGACAGAGTCAAGCCATGCGAGGGGGAAACATCTCTTGAATACGTCAGGGACGTTGCCCAGGAGGCAGCAGAGTACCTGAGTGCACAGAGGGAGCAGCTCGGCACCCGGAGCTACCTGGAGGTCCTGAAGAGGTTTCCGGTGCCGCCGCCTGAAGAGGAGCTCTCTGTTGGAGGGTTGGACCGCGATGAGGGTGATGCAGAGGAGGTGCAGCTCAGAGAAAGTGGAGGCGAAGAAGATGGTCTCAGGCGGCTGGATGAGAAGATTGCACAGGCGATGGCCAACATGGATTATCCTCAGCAGTGGAAAAACACTGGCAGTCAGCAAAGGGAAGGTAATGATATAGGACGTTTGAGTGAAAGTCACGACCTGCAGGTTTTTATTTGCCAGAGGTAAATGTGTTGACTCTTCAGTAAGACCTGCCCTGTTATTGATGCTTTCTGACACTTCTAAAGCACAGATTCCTTTGCACCGTATAAATCATTTAAACTTCAAAAACTATATTATCTAAATGAAACAAAGCACATTTGGGAGTTTTATGTCCAAGTGTTGAGATATGTTTTCCTTTATTGAGAGGACAGTGCAAGCATGAAATGGAGAAAGAGTGGGGGAAGCTCTGTGGGGAGGACACATATCAAAGGGCCGTGTTGGAATCAATCTTGCTAGAGGAATTTAGTTCATACTAATAGGTCCATTCTGCACACAGTCTGCATTCCTACTTTTAATTTCCATACTAGCATTATTCAGCTTTGTGCCCCTTTGTCATGTTCATCATCAAATGTAGAGTTTGTCTCTCTAAATTGTGTTAAGCTACTAAGATATGGCAACAGTTCATCCACAATTACAGGAGGGAGAGAGGGAGGGGGAGAGAGGGAGAGAGAAAGACTTTTTTAGATAATAGTTAATGTGCGTGACACATCTGAGGTAAAAACTACAAACATCAAATGCAGAATTGTCTGCTAATGTGAATAAAGGTTCTGATGTGGTCCACAGTCAATACTGTACCTGATGAAAGGCGGCACGGTGGTGCAGTGGTTTGCAATGTAGCTAACCACCTCACATTCCCACCTATAGATGTGAATGCAAGCGTGAACGGTTGTTATTCTTTGCATGTCTGGCGGACCCCGCCCCTCTCCCATTTTGTCACCTGGGATTGGCTCCAGCCACCGTGCAACCCTTAAGCAGTTCAACTAATGAATGGATGGAAGAGGATTAAAGTTCCTCTTATACATTTCTCTATAGAAAGAAAATCTCATAACCTCAGATGTTTTAAAACCTGGTCAAATTAGAGCCAAAACTATACTATACCATAGATATAGAGGGAGGTAAACAAGTAATGAGAATTTTTGTTTTTTTACGTTTGATGAACCAACCCTTTAACATGTGAACTACAGTACGTCAGATTTTCGGTCCTTCAGGTTAATATCATTACAGCGGGGCTCTGCTGTTCAGCAGGTTTCAGACCCTACATGAGATCTGACTGTACAGCCCAGCTCGTTCATCACATGATGTGCCAGACCAGCCAGGCAGAGGCCGGTGTGCTCCAAAGACGGAGCAATTACTGCCATTATCCCTCCTCCGTCAGATTAGAGTTGTCTCTCAGACCTCTGTGTCTATTAAATCAACTCCCACAATCCTCCTCTGCACCGCACTCCCGCTCCTTTACACCACAGCTGTCAGAGTAGTTCCTGGCGTCTGGCCTCAGAACCTGTGTTGTTATTTATGGTATTTAATTATTTCAAAGTATTATTTAGAAATGTGATATACTAGCAGGGTGCCATGGTATTATCTTATATTAAACAGGTTTATTTTGGGTGATTATAAGTTTTAAAGCTCACCCACCCCGGTATGAAAACTTACTGCACAGCTCATATGTCATTGGTATAGTTACTTATTGCCTCCTTAAAAGCTAAATCTTTGCAGAGACAGACTGGAGCCCATAACAAATGAACATGTCTGTTCAGACCCCTGTTGCACCCCCTCTCATTATACAGTATGTGCATGCGTTGCATAGAAAACCCAGAATGTCCATGCAAAACACGGGCGTGCTGAAAATGCAAAGTAGCAGTCGGCTCCTACTCTGTCAGTGTTTACTGGTCAGTGTGACAATGACATTCTTGTGTGCTGAACTTTGCATGAAGAGCATGTTCAGTATTCGCTCCTCTCACTCAGTCGAAACTGGGTCATGATTAGCGCCGCAGTTTCGGAGGTGACGGGCTGTTTCAGTTCAACTCTGGGCACCGGCTACAGATTAAAAAGGAAAAAAAATAATAGTTGAATTATTCTGCATCGTCGTTTGAAAGATAGTGCCATGGCAACCGTCACCCACACACCCACACTTACAGGGAAGGGCTGAAGATGGAGCACCGCAGTCTTTCACATGATGCTCACAAAACAATAATTATATATGCAAAGGGTTTGCTTAACAGTGATCAGTCAGCAGGAACATGTTAATGTAGAATGTGCATGTGAAAGCATCATCTAGAATCACAGGGAATCAGGATTGTTTATCACCTACACACGAGGCAGCAAATGTTTTACAGCAGGTGTCGAGAGGACAAAATTCCAGTTTTTCCAGATCGTAACAATATTGATAAGCTGTGGACCTTATATAACCAAGAGCCTGTCTGTCCTCCATCTGTACAATGTTTCTATACCACACATACCATACATTCTGTACGTAACATATCACCTGTACATCTCCTCTCAGTCGAGGCTGATAAATGTAATGTAGAGTTTTTTCTGAAGAACTGGAGCAGTATGTTCAGTGAGTTCATTCACCCGCAGTAGACACAGAACTGCTGTGTGTTAACTTATTTTATGCTGTTTTGCAAAAAATATTACCTACACGCTTGATAAGCTGCATTTAGACATGCACTGAAGTTTGGATGTCCTCCGGACATCCACGGGAGGAGTTGCAACAACTTTCTCCGGCCAGTTAAGGTTGAGAATGTCCGGAGGAGCCAATGTCAGAACAGTGCAGGAGATGCTCCACAGGATTCGCCACGAGCAAGTATATTAAAAAGACAAATCAAATGTCTCCAGATGAAGAAATGTGTCGATGTACTGTAAACAAATACATGTGATCTCCGCAGCAGAATTAGAACATTGTGTCCTGCCTCCTGCTGCACCAGCGCTCACACAGCTCCAGACCCAATACTTGGGATATCCTGCGGAATTCATGCCTGAAAACAGCTTTAGTGTTACTTCACAAGATTTTTCTTTACTTTTTAAAAATTGAACACATTATATATATCTGCTTGTATCTCCCACTTCTTTATCTCTCTCTCTAGTAGCTGAGATTCAGCCCAAAGAAACCCTGCTTCACCTTGCGGTGCGTCTGGGTTTGGTGCATCTCTCCCGTTTCTTAATTCACCAACCCAGAGGTCAAAGGGCACTGACCTCGCCCAATCAGGAGGGAGACACTCCTCTGCAGCTCGCTCAGAGGGACGGACAACACGCTGTGTTCCGGGTGCTGGCAGCGTAAGTTTCCGTATCTGTTGTCCAGTCCTTATTTGTGAGACACAGCTATACACGTAAAAGTATTATGTTTCCTTCAGGTTCTCAGACAGACACCTTTTAATGGCTTCCAGAAGTCCTTTAACGGGAACTTCTTGAACTAGTTAAGCTGTCTGGAACCATTTTTATCCCAAGTAAGGTTCATGCTGTTCCTTTCTTATAATATTGATGAGCTGCTAGAAACAACACACGATTTAAAAAGCACGACTCAGACGTGGTTATCAGCTGCCACGTCTTCAGAAGACCACACATGCAAACATTAAACATGACCAACCATGTATAAGATAAATTTGCTGTTCTCTAAAAAAAAACACACACATACTATACAAAGCCTCTAACCAGCAAAGGAAAACATCAGCCTCACAGATAAAACCACAGCTCATGAACATACCATTCTTTATAGGCTGCTCAGTAGGGTTGTTTAAGGTGTGATAAGAGATCATGTTTCAAAATGTAACAGCTGTCGATTGATAGTGACAAGAACTCAGTGGTGGGAGGCTTAGAAATGTATTAATATGACATTTCACACTGTCGCCTCAAAGCAAGAAGGGACCCGGTTTGAATCCTGGTTCGTTTGGGGTCTTTCTGCTTGTGTTTTTTTCAAGGTCAACCAGATTGGGGTTGGGTTAGGGTTTGTATGCTGTAGGTGTGAGTATTGTTTTATCTCAGCATTACCTGCAGCTTTCTTTATGTATCTGCCAGTCTTTATTATCCTTGTATCAAACAAGAAATACAGTCGTCACAGTCAGTGGTGTAGTAGACAGTTGCATTAGGGAATAGGCTACAATCAGCAAGTACTTTTACTTTAAATACTTATTTTTCTTGATGCTTTTACATATGTTTGTATGTATGTACTTACTTTTACTCAAGTAGAAAAGTTGACTTGAGTTCATTTTTGTAAAATATTTGAAATAGAATAACATTCCTCTACCACTGCAGGAGTAACATGTAGGCTAGTGAAGAGCAGAAATGTACACAGAATGCTCATGGAAATACCTCAAATGTTTCTGGTGTGTGCCAACACTTCCACTTGCAGTTGCACAGATAAAGCTCAAGAGCTTGTCAGTAGAGACAAAATCAAACAAAGGTTAGAACAATGAAAGCACATGATGGCTTCAGTAAAAGCTTATTCGTACAGCAGACTTCTTTCTGTTCTCATTAAATTCACTTTGTGTCAACCTCACCTCTGATAATCTTTATTCTCCTTAAGGGTGCATTTTGCTTCTTCTTCTCTCCTCATCAGTTCTGCAGGCCCCGGAGTCGGCCCCGCCCCAGGTGTGTGTAGCGTGTGGTCGGACACATCCCGCACGCTGAGGTTCTGTCCCGGGACAAACTCTCTGACCCTGACTGTGCGACAGGCGCCCGGCAGCTGCCCTCAGGACGACATCATGGTGCTGCGAGACAGACAGGAAGACCGCAGCATCGTCAGGCTGGTGAGAGAAGACCACAGGGAAAAACCTTCATTCAAAACTACTTCTGCATGTGGGAGAGAAGTGGCTAATGAATACTCCCATGGATCTTTGTGCATCATGTGCCGCTGATGTCGATAAGGCCATTTATGCTGGTTTTGTTCAGACTTGTGTAAACAGTACGCACTTGACTCTCACACCCTTTAGTTTGATAAGAGTTGAGTCAGTAACGGTAAACAAACACTGGATTTTCCTAAATCAGGGGGGCCTGATGTACACAGGGGGGGGCAATTATATATCAGGCATCCACGAACACAATTCCTGATTCAGTAAGGTGCACATTTAAGTCATTCCTTGTTTACTGTTAGCTCTGTAGCTTTGATATTCTTAACAAATCACATTTATTTTATTGTTTTGTTAGTAACTAACTAGTTTATTTAAAAAAAAAAAAGAAAAAAGATAGACAGGACAGGGGTACCTCAGGGGTCAGTCAGATTTAACCTGGGTCCAGTGCCCCCCTGGATCCGCCCCTGGACATTAGCATGTGCATATTGAACTTTCTTTGTGTTTAAACACTTTATTAACATTGCAGAACTTTAGCAATATATACCTGTTTAGCAGGTCTAATTTTATTGTTATTTGATTGTGGCATCATGACTAAATAATTGAATAACATTCTATATTTTTCACTATGCATTGCTCGTTTCTGTGGATAATTTTCAGGCTGAATGCGTTGACATCACGTCTGCTTTTGTTCCAGATCAATGTGCTCAGGGCTGATGGTGAGGGAGAGGAGAGAAGCAAAGATGAAGCCCTTTCTGTTGATGAAGGTAAGTGGATTTATATGAAGCTTTGAATTCCTTTCTCAAGTGACCATTTATTATCTTCAGACTTATTTGCAGTAATCAGATAATCTTGCTTGTTTATCAGTCCTTTTTACTATTATATTTTTTTATTGTGAGTGCTCTGGCATTAATAAATCAGCAGAGTAGAAGGACTAATTTTAGAAGAATAAATAAAGGTATTGTAAAGTAAACTGTACTCTGTTGCAGTTATCAGAATCAGGTTTTATTGCCAAGCAGGTTTACACATACACTGTAAACAGAATCTGCTGTGGTGTATTTATGCAAGTATAAATATAGGAAATACAAATTAAATTTAAAAAATACTATAAGCTCCAGGGGAGGGAATGTGCAACACTTTGTACATAAACAATAGAGACTGGATTGTGCAAAGTACATTTAATCCGTTATTTGCTACAGGAAGTAAAAATAATCTTGGTCAGTTGTATTCAAGTGTCGTTTTTTTCCAATGACACACCGACATGGGAGAGATGAGCCTAATCAAGACACGTGCATTATCTGTGTTCTCCCTCATGTGTCCCCCGCTAGTCCCACGGTACCTGTGCACGGCTGTAACTTGAGCTGAGGAGAAAAAAAATCTCACACAGCCTGACACGCTGACACACACGTGCAAAAACACACACACATTGACATGCATGTAAGTGCATAGACTGCACACATGTAATGATTAGTTGATCGATAGACAAATAAATTGCAATAACCAGTTTAATGCATTGATGAATGAGTATTAATGTTGAGGACTGAATATAGTTTGACTAATCAAGTAGTTTAAAGACGTCTCATTGAGCTCTAAATAGGGCCCTTTTGTTTTTACTATTTTCATGACATTTCCGAGATTAAGTGATTATTTGACTCATCAAAAAAAGAATCTTCAGATGACCAAATAATAGAAATAACTACTAGTTTCAGCTCTAGTATGGACGTCACACTGATCTCTACTTGCACAGACAGCTCGTATATTTGCTGTCTGTCTGCGTGTGGCGGTATGCGAGTACAGGGAGATGTTAGTGAAGAGAGGTGGAAAGCAAACCGCCACAGGTTCAGTTGAGCAAACATTTGTACGGTCTGACATCCATCACTTACAACCTGAAGAGACTAAGAAAACACTTCCAGCCGACGCCATAAAAGGCGCACACTCCTCCACACGTGTGTTTGCTCTACCTCTGAGATTACGGAGAAAACTCAGGGGACAGATTGTTTTTTCTGTCCTGGGGTGAGATGCTCAGGCTGGCATGCAACCACACACAAAGACGAAGATCCTTTTAGATGAACCACTACCTCTCTCTCTCTCACACACACACTCGCATACACACACACATTTAGATCTCACTTAACCTGTGGCCACTCTTTTTGGTAACCATAGAGATGGCAGTATCGACTCATAAAGAGAAGCAGGAAGTGTACCTCAGTATTGACCTTAACCCTGTCCGGACTTCAGCAGCCGTCCATTAATCCTCTCAAAAATAACAAGCACACAGTGGGGAGTATGTGCTCTTCCTCTGGACGTGCTGCTCTGGATGAGCTCAACGTCTCATTGGCCAGGTTTCCATTAGTGGACGGTGGCGTCACACCCAAAGGACCTGATGTTGTGGCGTCCACACGACTCTCCTGGGGTGGAGAAGGAGGAGTTAGGGCGCCATGCATCAACTTCTAGTGAAATGTTTTTATTTTGCACAGGCATTAGCAAGGAGCTGCGAGTGGAAGAGCATCTGCTGCTGGATAACGTGAGTGTACTTACAATTATATGTGCTGGTCTGTGGTAGGGAGTGACTTATGTGTTGTAAATGTTTATGGATATGCCTCTTCAGTTTGCTGCGGGTTCTCACGTGCAATTAGGTTGTTTTTAAGTACGCACTTCTTAAGTTTACTTAAGACTCATGTTTCCTTTGTGGTTTTTTCTATTAAAAGGTTTTCGAAGAGCAGCTTGTTCTGTCTTTGGACGACGATGACGATGATGTAAAAGAGAACCCATCCTCATTATCTGGTAATGCTTATCCCTCCCCTCCTCTCTCTCCTCTTCTCTTCTTATCCCTTCCCTTCCCTCCTCCCCATTCCTCTCCTCTCCTCTTCTCTCCACTTCTCTTCTCTTCCCATCCCTTCATCACCTCTCCTCTGTTCTTCTCTTCTCTTCTCCCCTCTTAATCTATCAAGAACCTTTTATTTATCTATCTCAAGGATACACAATAGTTGAAGGATTTATGACACAATAGCAACTTGTTCAGGCCCAAATACAGTTTCCATTTCAATATTATGGCAATAGTACTCTGACATCTGGCTTAAATAATGAATGGGTAATCCAAAAAAAAAGAAAAAACACACAACAACATATTTGTGGCTGTGCTGAACAGCAGGGTGTGGGAACAATGCATACTAAGCTGGTTGAGAAGCCCTGACTGGATCCTTTCTCTTGTGGTGCTGGCACAGCACGCAGCGCTGTGAATCACATCATAGGAAATCAATACACCTACTGCTTAACAGACACAGACAGAGATGCACCTTCATGTGGGACAGAGAAGCAGTTTTTCTGTGGTTAAATGGACGTAGTATGTCCTCGGACGGTGCAGGTCTGGTCTTTTCCTGCTCTGCCTCCACAATGACACAGTCTGAGAGCGCAGGAATCTGCCCCGTCACCGGGACAAAGACAGGAATGGGGTCAGGCTCGTCCCAGCTAAAAACTCTGTCTGAGCTGGGAGATGCCCCACTCCGGCCTGTCGCCCTGCCAACCCCCCACTGACCACCGCCACAACTCCACACACACTGGAGCTGTGTACTTGAAGTGAGGGGGGTGGGGGGTGTTAACAAGCTCAAATGCCCTTGGCTTACAAAAGCTGAACTTTTAGGGGAACACCATACATTACCCTTGAATTCTCTTTAAACACATGCGAACACGAAACATTGCATGAGCTAAGCCAGTGCAAACACTCGCTGGCTTGTAAAAAGAAAAATTGTGAGGAGGATGCCCAAATGTGTTTCAGGTGTTGCCACGGTTACCGTGAATGTTAATTTCCTGTGTGTTGTTGTTGAGGAATAAAGAGTTTGCTGTAAAATCGGAAGAGACTCTGGTGCTGCTGGGTGGAGCCTGTAAACTTTGGGCCAGTAAAGTGGAGCGTGGGTGTGTGTATGATAGTTTGTCTCTGTGGAGGACTGATGAGTGGGAACGGGAGGGCAGTGATCCCAGTGTTTCACATTGGAGCACATTGTAGATTTCTGCTTTTGTTGCTCAAGTCATCACACTCACTGTTGAGCTGAGTGCATCTGTTGTGAAGACAGGGCCTCAGGGCTTCTGTGGGACAAAGGTGTCGTCCAGAGTTAATGCAGAGTTGTTGTTGTTGTTTTTTTTTTCAGAATTTGTCAAAACTAGAACAGTGAGTATTGTAAACCTGCCTGTTTAGAATGGGCTGTTTTCTTGTCCTGTGTTAATATTCAGAGCTATTTCAGAAATATTCCTTGTCATTAGTGAGTCCTCCTCAAACAGTTCTACAATCAGTCACTTTTTATTGTTTGTGTGCTGGATGTTGTGTGCAGAGCGTTTTATAAGCAGTCTATGATGCAGAGTGAAGTTGGACAATTGTGTGTTCATCCTGCCTGGTTTATCTGCAATGAAGATTTTATAGTAAATTTTTTTTTTCCTAAAATGAAAACTGAATTTGCTTTATTATGTTTTCAGGTATGTGGTTGATATATAAGTTTGAATGAACATGAGCTGTAGTTTATGTGCAGCCAGAGCTGCCTTAGTTTATGCGAGGCCATAGAAGAAGACATTTCCAACTTTGTCCACAGCCTGAAGCCTCACTGCCCCACCCCCACTGAACTGTTTGTTCAATATTGAAGATATTGCATGCCCAAAGGTTTCTCTAGTAACAATGAAATAACTCTGAGTTATTGACAGTGCTAACCAGTGTGACAATTAGTCTACCGGCTGAGACTAAAGCTGCTTCAGTATCTCACTGACCGTTAAATTAAAATTGGAGATTTTTTTTTGTCCTGTTAATAAAACTGCATACACACTGACCATTTATCTCGAGCGAATCAAATGAAAGCAGGCAGAAAACCAGATAAATGCAATGACTGGATATAAGTAGTTTGTCCTGCGCTGCATGTCTGAGCTCCGTGCTAATGTCTTCACTGTGTGAGAGCAGCAGAGAGGAAATGCCTCTGTGATGCCCAGGATTTCCTTTACATTAGTGCAGGCTCGGCTGATCCAGACATCAAAGTCTGGCTGGAAAGTGCACAGAGTTCTATGAAAATGGCATCTAATCAAGAGGTGATTTTCCACATTGTTATAGTAGAAATACCATCCACACACGCACACACACACACACACACACACACACTGTTAATGGTCGCTTAACTTTATTTTACTTAAAAGTACAGTGTGTAGAATTTTGTGATATCTAGTGTTGAAGTTGCATGTTGCAGCTGAACACCCCTCACCTCACCCTCTCCTTCCAAAAGTGAAAGAGAACCTGTGGAAGCTTCAGTTGTCATAAAAACTCAAAAGGTGTTTAGTTTGTCCAGTCTGGACTAATGTAAAAAACATGGCGGCCTCCGTAGAGAGGGTCCCTAGATGTAAATATAAAGTATTTAAATATACTTTTTTTGGGGGGTAAAGAAAACTACAATTCATACAATTTAGATGAAACGAACTAGTGAAAACATCATGAGTATTATTCTACATTAAATTTCTGCCAATAGATCCCTTTCACCTAAATCTTACACACTGGACCTTTAGGTAAACTGTGAGGTGGTTATAGAACACACCAACATTAGTTTAGCGTATATTAGAGCTGAAACCTATATTTTATCCTTCAATTAATCAGTAAGTGTTTCACCTAAAAAATATCATGTGTGACATATAAAAGTATCAAATTTAGAAAGGTTAGACACAAATACTTAATAGTTTTGATTGTAAAAAATATATAAATGCTTTTGTTGTTTGACTCATTAACTAATTGATCGAATAATCATTGCAGCTCTTAGACAAAGATGTACAATTAACCAGATTAACTCAACAATGAAATGTTGTTTACATGTTAATGCATCAGTGATAATAATATATATTTATATAATTATGAATGTTATATTATAATTATTGTAAAAAATTAATGTCTTCTAAGATTCTGGTTCATTGGCAATGAAAGATCCATTTAATTATGGTTTGAAAAAAAACACAAATTACCAGAATAAACCACAACAGCAGATCAGACCTGAAGTAAATATGATAAATAAATCTGATGTTTGGTTTAAAATGTTTGCTTGTTTCATGTTACTCTGAGCTGCTCTCTCTCTTCAAGCAGACATTCAGGTGTCTGGCTAATAGGAGGATGAATTATAACAATCAAGTGGCTTCTCACCTTGTTCTGTGACAGTAAATAAACCCAGGAATGATTACATGGGAAAAAAGAAATGTGGACCAGGTGATGCCTACTTTCATTTAATTTATTTTATTTGAACTAAACTGAGATTGTGCTGTGTGTTTATCACAGTATATGATCATCCTGTGAAGTCCAGTGGAGTCGAGAGCCATTTTACCCAGCATGCCACAGACCCTCTACTCTCCATGGACATCAAAGATCGAAAAACCACACATCCGACGCAGGTTGTGCATCATCCACTCTCTCCAAACACACGATTTAACATTTTCTCACATTTTCTTAACTCAGTGCATCTGTCTTTTGCCTCAGCTGGATGATGTCGACCTCAAGCACAGCATCAGCGGAGTGACGAGCGACAGCACAGGGACGGACAGCGGGTTATGGGACGGGGTGGACTCGCAAGATCTCCTGCTCACCACTGACACTCCTCCGCCCTCTTCAGAAAACCTCTGCCCCAGCTCTGCACTCAGTTCCCTCCCCCTCTCGCCTGCTGACCGGGCCCTCGCCAGGCTGAGCTTTCCCACTTCCTTTCAGCCGACCGACGAGAGAGACAGTCCGCCCATGGACGCCAGCGACCTCAGGTATTAAACATCATGAGCTCGCTTTCAGACATCAGGCACTGAACTCTGGAGAATCTCCGCAGGGGCTGTATGTGAGAACGCAGATGACCGAGTGAGAGGCTCTACACTTTCTGGAGTCATTCCATCCAGAGTAAAAACTCCAGATAATACCTGAATGAGCCCATGTGAGAAATCAACTGGAGCTCCGTCTGATCGGAGAATCTCCTGCTGTGTAGGCAAAGTCCGGAGAAAGTCCGGACCAGTTTGTGTGGACATTCTTCGGAGTTCGTGTCTGAACTTTCGGAAGACTTGTTTCATTGTGGTTATCTCTGTGTGTTACTGGTCATTTCTCACTCCAGCCCCAGTCTAGTGGCTCTGGAGATGGACAGCGAGGAGGACAGCGCCGACATAAAGTCTCCGCTCTCCCCGCTTTCGTCCCACGTGGAGAAGAGCGAAGACACGAGAGACGCCTTTTGTCCCTCCGCTGACCTTACTTGCACTCGCAGCAAGTCTGCCTCTGCGGCATGCGAACCCGCCACAAAAGTAAACCACCCTCTCGTAGCTGTCAAACATTTCACTCAGACATTTCCACATCTCCTTCATATACTGAGAGGCGTTGTTTGAAGTCTTTTGTCTTTACTCCGGATGCTTGTTTTTTCTTTCCTTGTTTAGGAATTGGATGACCAGGGGATTCGACTGCGTTCCTATTCCTACTCTGCCCCCAAAATCAGTTTGCGGCCTGCTCGTTTTGCCCGGGACAATCACACTTCAGACATCAGCCCTGGTCAGTAACACTGGGACCCTTACCCACCTCACACGGTTATAGTCTTACACAAAACTAACAGTATTTCCCCTGCATGTTTTAGATGATCACTAATGGAGCAGATGGATTGATTTGATGTTGAATTTTTCACGAGCTTCCACCCGTAGATTCTCTCTCTACTAATATAAAATCAAATCAACCCACAGTTAATGAATGTGCCCATAAGAAGGCTTTTTTTTTTTTTTTTTTAAAGAAATAAGCCTTTTTGCAATGTACTAGATGAGAAAATCAATACTTGATGAGGCTCTGACATAAGGCAAGGCAAATAAAGTAGATAGGATTCTATAAAGTAGCAGTAAAAATTAAAGAAAACACAATGATGGTATGACTTTAGATGTTGTAAAATAGTTTTGTTAAAAAAACTTACAGTCAAATAACAGTAAGAAACCTTTATAATAATAAAGTAATAAACCGTTATATTACATAAAAGAATATTAATACAAATACACACAGTCAGTGATAGAATGTGTATTTTTTGTATTCTTTCAGAGAATTCAGTTTAATTTACATTGCAGACAACTTATTGAATTATCCTGTAAAAAGTACTTATTATTTATAAATAATTCAATACATTTCTGTGAAACACAAAAACAGCTTGTGGTCATAAGCAGACTTCCTGGAGACTTCTCATCACAGCCATCACACACACACACACACACAGAACCACAAATTGTCTTTGACTTAATGATAAGTTTTTGGATGAATGAAAGGAGATGGAGTGTGTTTAGCAGTGAGCTTTCGAAGAGATCCAGATCTTGTTACCTTTGAAGAGAGCCAGGCTGCTTAACTGACTGTGTTTCAGTATTTCAGTATAAAAATCAGGGGCTGCATCCTTCGAAGGACGCTGTCTACCCAGCCCATTAAAACCACTTCCTTTGTGGGCTGCATGCGTAGACCTTGAAGGTCGAAATGAAATGAGACAGTTTGTTCTGCAGGGGCATTCCGTGATCAGCGTCACCAGCTCGTCCCACTATTATTGCTGTTGCCTGGCAACAGAGCTGAAGTTTGACACACTGAGAAAGTTTCAACGCCCTTTGTTTTGTTTTTTTTATTATGTACCGTGAGGGGTTCGGTTGAGTTGAAGCGTGCTGGTGCCAATACCTTTTTGAAAAACGGTTTGTCACTTAAGTGCAATGAATGCTGGGATAGGTGGGGCTGGGAAGGGTCCATCTTTAGAGCCTTCATTTCTTAGGAATGGAAGGAGCCTCCGAAATGGAACGGTCTAGTCGCACCGCTGTGACGTAATCGCTCATCAAATCCAGCCTCCGAAGGATGCAGCCCCTGAATTGAGACACAGCTGTAGAAAGTAAGAGTGTTTTGAATCTTCACATCCCATTCTCAGCAAGAGAGCAAGAATGTCAAACTATTTCTTCAACAGCTGTTTTTTATTTATCAAATAAAGAGAGACTGTAGTTTTCCCTAATTTCCAACATTCACAATCCGCCCAGAAAGCGCTGCATGAAGTAGTGATGTAGGAGATCTCAGTCTGCACCCTCTGTAGTTGATGTGTGAGCAGCCCTCTGTCCACTGTGCTCTGTAGATGCCGTGCTCCACAGTGTCAGCCACAGCCGATCTCTCCTTCAGGCCCTCTCTCTGTCTAAATCTCTGTCTCTGCTCCACCCTGGTAGTAAGTACTGGACACCTGCAGCCGTCACACTGCGCCAGGGCCCTGCAATAGCCGGCACGTCGCTGTCAGCGTCTGTGCTTGTGTGTGCGTGTGGGAAGTCAAGGTTATTACTGTAAACTGATTCAGCTGCTGAAAATGGAAACTTTACCACATCTGACTAAAGAAAAAAAAAAGTGACTTTAACCCACAGAGAATCATCATCCCGCTCCTGGCAGCTTTACAGCATGTTTCAGTTCATTGTTTTAGTTTCCTGGCCTGTTACTTTAATGTGTTTAGTTCTCTCTCATGCCTCTTTGCACTGAAAAAGAGCTCAGTAAATTAACTTTGCACAACCTGAAAAAGATTAGCAACGAGCTATTGAATGTTGTGGAACATTTAGCTGCTGAAGAGCCAGATATTTCCTCCAGGAGTTAGACCACAACAGAGCTAACTTGAGAGGGAAAGTTGGACTTTGTGAACAGAGACATGACTGTGAAGTTGTGAGTGGAGAGAACAGCACTGACTGCCAGCTGCTTATCAAATGTACCAGCATTTATTCAACACATTATACAAAAACACAACTGAGGCAACCTGCATGAAATGTAAGTCTGTTTTCAACTGCTGGTTTTCCCCTCATCATCCGATATTTGAAATCTATAAATATATGTGTGAAAAATAGCCAAAAGTCAAAAGGAGTGGGAGTAATGTTGGGAATTGAAACTGAAATCTAAGAGCAGGGTTTCCGCACGCAGCTTAAAAAGTCTAATATTCTGAATTTCAACTTTTAAATTTGACATAAAAACAACTGAATGGATTTACCATGAAACTTTTTTTTCACTTTCTTAAATATTGTGGAATAGATTCGCTGTTTTCTCAGGGAATATTTGGGATCTTGATAAAAACGAATTAGAAATTTGGTGCCGCTTTATTAAAAGTGTGGCCCTGGTGGAGGTACTGTATGTGCTCTACTGAGTGATATTTTAGTTTGTAGTTCTTCTTTTTCTCCGTCGTTCTGTTTACCACATGATTGTTGGTTTTGGTTTTTTTGAACTGGGTAGTATTTACAGTGACATTTAAAAGAATGGAAAACCTTCACACAATACCGATGTGGAACTGATAAAAACAGGTCAGAATTTGTGAGAAAACGTGGTTTATTCTTTACAATGCCACTTCAACTTTCACGGGAAATGTTCCCTCATTTCTGTCGTACTTGACATAGGCCTTAACTTCCATTCATTATGTTCTTAAAAGGGTCTTAAATTCCACTTGCTGAAACCTGCTGAAACCCTGTAAGAACTAAATAAAGATCATAAATCTGTGATAACCTTGACGTGTGTTTGCATGTGTGTCTGCGCAGACCTGATTGTGTGTGTTGCCCAATAAAGACATACCTGTATTGTGATCATACTGGCCGCAGGAGTGCAAGAAGAAATCAGGTTTGCTGTGATGAAATGAGAAGATGACTGATTGCTTTGCAGCCTGACGAGACATGAGGCGTCTCAGGGTCGGCACTGTGCGTCTGTTTGTGCTGCAGCTTTTGTGCGTCTCGTCCTGTCCTGGTTGTGTACATGAAGATGCTTTTATAATAACCTATTCAGATAATTTCAGGACATCTAGCATGTAACACTGACAGGCTTTGTTGTTATATTCACTCACCTAAAATATATATATATATATATATATATATATATATATATATATAATATATAAAGAATGAAATGTTTATAGATATTTGGTCTTAGATATGCTTGTCCTGTCACTTGTAATCAATCGTGTTGTCAGATTCTTCAATCAGATGAATAACCTCTCTCCATTCTTTCTGTCTACAGAGCAAAGAACCTCCAATATTTCAGAGCAGTCACATGTGAAAAGGTATTTATACTTCAAATTGATTTTTTTAAATTCACTTACTCATTCGAATTATGTTTTATCGCCCTTTTCTGTCTTTCTCTCTGTCCAAACACTAAATCACTCAGCCTCACTCACTGGGTCATTGGCTCCCTGTATGAACGACCCTTCCTTTCATCAGATATATGCCAAGAGCAACTCACTGTATGTTTGTAACCATGACGATTAGGCCGAACGGGGATGGCAGGCACTCTGAGAAGTTTGCTGAGAAGCTGGGTTCATGTGTTACTGCTGTTTTTGATCCTTTTCTTCTTTTCTAGCGACAGCAGAGGTAGTGAGGCTCAGATATCACTATGACCCTGTGATACTTTTTCTTCGCCCTGTTTTTCATCTGTGGGTTACAGTGTCATCTTGCAGCCTTGTAGTTCATTTTCACAGCTGCATCATGGCTACATCACAATGCACGACAAATGTTCTTTATGTACATGCAAGTAATGCATTTTGATTTTTAAAAAAAAACGCAGGATGTAGTTAAAGTTAATAACAAAAAGTGACTTCATGCACTCTCTGTCTGCTCAGAGGGGAGTGGCACTGGTTTTAAAAAAGAAGGACATCCTTTCTACTTCCTGTTCCACTTTGACTATTTTCACTTCCATCCCATTAGGAAAGATGCTAACAGATATTTCCTCAAATTGTATAAATGTATAAATACCCTAGTTACACTGGCACACTTCATTAGCTCCCCCTAGTGGAAGATAACAACCAGACTCGAGTAAAAAAAACATGTTCTTTCTTTGTGTTTGGAGCAGAGCTGCGACTATTGGTTAATTTGCCAATTAATAAAAATGAATCAGATGTTGTTGATAATCATTAAGTCATATATCAAGTGAAAAACTGAACCTCAAATGTGAGAATTTGACATTATGACAGATATAATATTTGTAGGCTCAGACACTCGGGATGTAAAATCACATAAGTTTATGTTTGAAGATATTTTCCACACTTGTCCATGTGAATCAATAATGAAACTATTCATCATTTGCAGACTCCTCATGTGTGATTGTAGCTTGAATCGTTAGCACTTGTGGCTTTTCATCAGCACTAAGACGTCCATGTGCGCTGTTCTTTGCAGGGACATTAGGTTCCGTAGTCGTGCCCAGTCTGCGGATGATGAGGGAAGCATGGAGCTGGCAGAGTCGCTCCAACACCTCACGCTGTCTGAGTTCCTCAAAGAGTATGTGGGGGGGCGAACCTTCCTCTTAACCGTCCGACATAAACAAACTAACCTTGAAACCTCACTCACAGTGTGACTCATTTACCACCTGTTGTTATTATATTTTAACAGTGCACAATTACGACTGTCGTCGTCGTTTTGCATGTCTCTAACAACCTACTAATTTGAATTTACTTTCACAGCACAGGGCTGCAGAGAATCAGCACTTATTGTGACTAACAAAGGATTTCTGTTTGTGTGTGTGTGTGAGTTTTATTTGGATTGCTTTCCCTTTCCCTAAAGACTGTGCAATATCAGGTTACGCAACAGTGCCATGTTTATTATTTTTTATATTAGTGCACAAATTAAATTTCCCTGACATTATTGTAACGGTTCAACAGAATTGAAGAAGAGGAGCTCGATAAGTACAGCATCCCAACCAAAGCGGAGTCAGAGAAGTACAAAGTCATCCGCACCTTCAGTTTCCTCAAGAGCAGGATGTCCAGCACACGCAGCAAGACCAAGGTAAAACACCTTAAAACCTATTACATCAAGTATAGTGTCAGCCAACCAACAAAAGGACACTTGAGGGAATGCGTGGTGGTACAAAAAACACAACATCTTCTGTCTGTGTTGCAATACTTTACTTACATTTATAAACCCGTACAAAGGCAATAGTAATTTAAAAACGAGCTTGTGAATGTATGATAAACTATCGAGACCAAAAATACAGATGCTCACACACCGTTGAAAAACCCTGACCTGACCTGACCCCAAATAAAGACTACGCTTGGCTCTCGTGAATGCGACCTATGCCCTCAGCTGCATAACTGACAGAGCAGCAGCAACATTAACAATATACCACCACCCTCAATATAAAAGAATGCAAACTTCAAAATTGTCAAGAATTGAACATTAAAACATCAATACAACAAATGGGCTATTTCATGTGGTTAAATGAAAGTTCTCTTGTTGTGGTTTTTGTGTCCTTAAAGTATTTTTTATAAGCACACCAAGTTTAATAGACTGTCACTTTTTGTGTTTAAGATGCCAAATATAATCATTATTATTTATTATTATTGTTATTGGGGCATTGAGTATGATATTCACACATTCCCAACAATACAATTCAGATTTTTTTTGCAAATGTTTTAACGCAAACTATAGAAAGGAAAACTTTAGCTTCTGTTTGGGGACAAATATTTTCAAAGCAGGCAAAGATTTGGTCGGCATGACGGTGTTTGTCTCCCTCTGTAGTACTGGCATGTCAGCTTTACACATGAATCGATCTTTCTAGTTTCAGTCAAATATTGTGAATCAAGTTGTATTTGTATTGCCAATTTTCACCTCTTGATAAACTACCAACAAACCAAGTCATGGTGTTCATATTCTGCCTGTAGAGGTGATATTGAGTATGAAAACCGTTCTGCAGAGACTCAGTTTGCCAGACAGAGGCTCAGGTGTGGAATATGTGTCTCTCTGCTCTCTGGGAGGCAGAACCAGGAAATGTTTGAGAGAATAACTCAAGGTCGGAGTGACCAAACATGGAATCCAGCCTCTTTTCCTTTTAATGATTAATCCCCTGTTGTTGAGTCAGCACAGACACTGGAAGCCCTTTCTGACCTGCATCTGCTGTTTACGCCATGCTTCGTTTCCTTGTCGGAGGACGGTTTGGAAAAAGGGCGGGGATTTCTCCCAGGCTCATTTATCTACTTACACACGGGACAGTTTCGTCTGCAAATAGAAACGTGACTCTCTTTCCTCCGATGTGTAGAGAAAAGAACCTGGGCTTGTTTTGACCTGAGCTCATTGTAGCGTAATTGTCAATCAAGACGGTTTTTTTTCTCCTTCTATCTGGCCTCTTCGTTTTACACCTATGTCTTTCACGTGGTTTTCTAAGGGGAAGGGGAAGGACAGAGAGGCCAAGGACAGGCAGCTGAATGGACATCGGTTTGCGACAGGGTCCTGTTTAGGCCCCACCATTTGTGTGGTATGTGACAAACCAGCATCTGGCAAGGACCTGCTGCATTGTTCCAGTGAGTAAAAGTATAAATCCAAGACGTTCACAGTCGTATTGTTTAAAAAAAAAATCATGTTGATGAAATTGTTTATTTCCTTAGGTTGCACTGCCATCGTCCATAAGGGCTGTAAGGAATCTTTGCCGCCATGTTTGAAGGTGAGCTCAGTGCTGTTAGCTGGAGCTGCTCGTCTCCTCGTATCAATTGTTTATATGCGCTCTGACCAGCCTCTCTCATTTGTATTACTTAGAAACTTCAGGATAAATATGCTGTTACGATGGTGAAGAACAGGACAGCATCCCTCCCACAGAGTGAGTTTACAAGACAGGGGTCAACAGTCACAAACTGCTCTGTTGTTAATTCATCGTAATCGTGCATTAAACTTCCTGTTTGTAACATTTCTACTCAGGGTTTTAGTGTCATATGCTAATGTGGAGTTATACTCTTTATCCCCACAGATTTCACAGTGAGAGACAGTCCTCCGCAGTGTGTGATCCCCATCTCTACCTCCCTTCCTGTCATGATGGCGAAGGAGAGGAAGGAGACGGTGACCCAGCCAAGCTCTCTGTCTGGAAGTTTCCCCAACAGTGACAGGTCAGTATTTCAATACTTACTACCTCAGCCCTGAAGTGAATAACTGGCTATAAACCTCAGATCCGTCAGTAACGATACAGGAAATCTCAGCAATGGAAAGAATGCCTCACAGAGAATAAAAACAGGGGAAGAGATGTTGGTAGAGAGGAACCTGGGTAAAACTACACAGAGCACACACTCAGTGTACATATATTACAGGAGGAACACACACACAGTCATGTGTTGATTTCCTGGAGACTTACTCTAACCATAGTTACTACTTGCTTAATCATAAACTAAACACACACACACAGCTCTCCCTCTTTCTCTTTCATTTAAATAGGCAGATGTTTGTGATAAGTTATGAATCTTTGTTCATGTGTATATGTATATATGTTTATAAATGTATGAATATGAACTGAATCCTTATGTCACTGGGTGTGTAAAAAAGAAAATAGTAAGAATGATTTTAAGGACATGGAACGAAGTTGGACATTTTGTGTTTGATTTAATGCAGTAAAAATTGATAAACGTGTCCAGTCATTAATCTTAATATAACACGCGATGACATGTGATGATAGTGGTGAAAGTGATTCACCCAATAATGTTTCTCTGTGTTTTCTCTGTGAGTACAGTCGGCTCAGTGAGAGTTCAGAGACAGAGTGTGACGCCGGGAAGGGGCCCAGTCATTCAGAAGAGCAGCTGCCGACGCCAACGTCCTCCACCTCCACTGACTCATCCTTTGGAGAAGGTACGAGATGAATAAAGCTCAATTTTTCACAGATTTCCACAAAGTGAATCAGGGCAATTTGAATCAAAGTTTGTTTTATTCCGTTTCATTCCCATAGACTGTGTGGACGCGTGTATCCAAGGTGACATCTCGGCGGATGCTGCAGATTACGAGGCGGAGTCGTGGAGTCTGACGGTGGAGCACAAGTTCTGCAAGAAGCACGACAAACGAGCGGTCAAGAGGCAGGATGTCATCTATGGTGAGCAGAGTTGAGAAAGAAGACCACTGGAATGTTTCCTTTTCTGTCAGGGGTTGAGCAACAGATGTAGATTGTTGGAGAGATGGAACATTTACACATGTTATCAAGTAACACACGTGTTGCACATGTGACGCAGAGTTGATGCAGACTGAGCTCCACCACCTGCAGACGCTCCACATCATGGCCGAGGTTTTCCGGCGAGGTATGAGGGAGGAGGTGCAGCTCGACACTGAAGCGGTGAAGCGGGTCTTCCCCTGTCTGGACCAGCTGCTCCTCTTCCACCACGGCCTCTTCGCCGCCATGAAAGAGCAGCGACACAGCTCGGCCCAGCCGCAGGGACACAGGAACTACCTCATCCAGCGAATAGGAGACGTCCTGCTCCAGCAGGTTGGTCGTCTGACACTGGTTTTTTATTTTTTTAAGTGTAACTGATTGAAGCTGGTGCAAGAGGGAATCACTGCGTGTGTGTTTTTCTGCAGTTTTCAGATGAAAATGGTGAGAACATGAAGCAGGTATATGGAGAATTCTGCAGTCGCCACAACGAAGCGGTCAGCTTTTTCAAAGAACTACAGCAGCACAACAAAAGGTTTCAGAACTTCATTAAGGTACTTTACATTCTCAGATAAATAATCAGAATAATAAAAGCATCACCACCGTACTGCTCATAAGGTATTAGCATAATCTTTTATGCTTATTTTTCAAGCAACAAGGTAATAATTCCTTGGTGCGACGGAGAGAGATCCCAGAATGCATCTTGCTCGTAACCCAAAGGATTACAAAGTACCCAGTGCTGCTGGAGAGGATCTTACAATACACTCAAGGTAAAGTCATCTGCTGCCACCTGCTGGTGAAATTACTCACACGGTCAGCAGAGGCAAATAACAAAACAGCGCTCATCATGGTATTTAGTTTGTAAAAGTTTAACTAAAACACAATTCTATTTGTCCGTCATTATTTCTTAGAAGACACAGAGGAGCGTGCCAACCTTTCTAAAGCCCTGGCTCAGATCCGGGAGGTGATAGCAGCTGTGAACTTGAGGGTCAGTGAGTATGAGCGGCATCAGAGATTACAGGAAGTGTGGAACCGCATGGAGAACCGCAGCTCGACCAAGCTGAAGAGCGGACATACCTTCAGGAAGCAGGACATGATGGGGCCGGAACAAATTCTCAAGCACCAGGGCCTGCTCCTGTGGAAGACTGCTACCGGTCGACTGAAAGGTGAAAATGTGTTTCTAGTGACATGCTGACATCTTCATGTCTCTCCTGCCTCCACTCTGAGATGTTATTTATGAACAATGTTATTTGTAAAGTCCTGAACAGCAACACAACATCAAACATAAACTGGTCCTGTAGTCAAGTGTCCGGCTTATTCCCATGTTCCAATTTTCAAATAAAGTGTTTGGGCAGCTTTGGCTTAGGGTAGAGAGTGGGTCGTCCACCAACCAGAACGTCAGTGGTTAGAGTCCCAGCCCCTTCAGTCTACTGTGAAGTGGTTTGAGAAGTTCTTAATAAATACAGTTCGTTTACATTTTACACATTAAATAAACACAATTGTACCAATTGGTGCTTTTTAAACCGTGATCACAAACCACTCTGCGCTTAAATGTAACTGTTACACCTCCACCAAGGAGGCTATGTTTGTCATTTGTCTGTTTGTTTGTTCGTTTATTTGTCTGACTGTCAGCTAGATTGTGCAAAAACTACTGAATCAGTTTTCTTGAAACTTAAAGGATGGAGTATGAGTAAAGAAAAAACACATTCAATTGTGGAGCGGATCAGATCAAGGATTTAGTTTCATGCATTTCTTCATTTTTGTGAATTTCCCAAGAAATAATTCATGGATCTTAATGAAAACAATTAGTCATATTTATGGAATTCATATCTATGGGTTTGTGAAATTTGGTGCAGCTTGATTGGCGTTAATGGAAGTGTTGGGCCTTGGTGGAGTTATGTACTTGACTGAGTGCCATTCACAGTTCTGCTGTTTGTTTTCCAGTCATTTAATTTTGTATGTATATATTTAGTTTTACTGTATATGTACTCTCAGCGATAATTAAATAAATTAATTGTTAACAATGTTTTCTTTCTTGTCCTCACTTCCTCAGACATCCTGGCGCTCCTTCTCACAGACACACTTATCTTCCTGCAGGAAAAAGACCAGAAGTATACGTTTGCCACTGTGGTACGCACACATTAATTGCATTTTGTTGATCTTAAAGAGGCAATAACCAGCTGTAACAGCAATCAGAATGTTATACCCTATTAGCTGTTCATATAAAGTAAACCATTTTATGTAGAGCTGCTATCATCTAATGTAAAATTATATGTTTCCCTGTTTTAATGTGCTCCAGGACCAGAAACCTCCAGTCATCGCACTGCAGAAGTTAATAGTGCGAGAAGTAGCAAATGAAGAGAGGGGGATGTTTCTGATCAGCGCATCATCAGCAGGGCCAGAAATGTACGAGGTCCACACGTCATCCAAGGAGGAACGAAACGCCTGGATGAGGCTCATTAGAGAGGCTGTGGAGAGGTTTGTGGACCGAAACTGAATATAAAATATTCACCGTTTGCTGGAATAGTTTTTCTATCAATCTTTCGCTGTTGTTCTGCTCAGCTGTCCGGAAGAAGAGGAGGAATACGCGAGTGAATCAGAGGAGGAGAAGCGAGCTGCTGAGGCTCGTGTTCAGAAGATCCATAAGTTACAAGGTACTTTATTCAGTTTTTTCTTCATAGTCTTGAATATTTGACTTGGTCCTTGAATGATGTGAACTTGTGTTATCAGAGAGTCTGATGAGCCAGGACCAGCAGATCTGCTCCAGCCTGGAGGAGAAGCTGCAGATCTACACTGCGCTCTCTGCTCTGAGTGGGAGGACGGACGCCTCTGCAGTCGAACCGCGGCTGCTCGTCCAGCCGCACTCAGAGGACGTGCCCCAGGCGGGCGAGCTGCTGGCTGCAGCTCTGCAGGAGGGTGAGTGTTAATGGTGGTGTTTAATGTGGTTCCTTCTACAGACACAGGCACCTCAACAGTATTCTGGCAATTTTACTGATGTTGTTGTGAATGCATCTGACACAGACTGTCTCCTCCTGCAATCTTCATATGGGAAAGGTCATGTCTGAAAACAGTGGTAAAGATAAAAAAAAAGAAAATCAATTTCTCGTAATTTTCATTTCATTGTATATCTTAAGATATAAATCACAGGGCAAGCCTGGAAAATTTAATTTGAAATTGAAGGGAATCAAAAAATAATCATGTTATGTTCCTTTAACTGACCTCTCACACTGAATTTAAAACCACATGCACCTTAATAAGCAGATGAGCCAAGCGAGTCTCACGCTGTTTTCAATTCAGTTCAATTTTTATGGTGCATCAGGCGGAGGAGGGATGTAAAACAGAAATTCCTCTGTGGAGATCACATGTTTTCGTTAAAAGCACATAAATACCAGCGACGACCAAATAATCTCCTCTTCGTCGGTGTTTCCTATGAGTACGGCTCCGCTTTTTCTTAATGAGATATTGTTTTCTTTTTGTCTCTTTTTTCATTTTTGTGTCTCTCGCGTGTTGGACATGTCATCAACACACCACTTGCTCGGGGTGAATCCTTCCCAGGGTCTCCTAATGTTCTCTCACATGGGTTCATTCGGACGTTATCCACAGTTTGCTTGCTGCACAAACTGGAGCAGCTTTGGTTTCAAACTTGTGTTTCTCCTGTTTTCCAGCTGAAAACCTTAAAGCCACGTTGTCAGCCAAGGCCCATTCTCCATCCAGCAACAGCCCGTACTCTGACATGGACTCTGTGTTCGCTGTCAGCCCTGCTCCGCATGTACAGCTCCCCTCAGATTCTTCAGAGCCGTCACCTGAGACCCCTGAGGCCGCTGACGGGAGCTGGACCCAGGCCGTCGTTCCTCAGTCTCCAGAGTCAGATGACATTGACTTGAAGGTACATAAGCGAAATGTATTTAGCTTATTGCATTGCCTGCTAGATATCATAATATAAATTGAAATAGAAAATAAAAAAGGCTGTTAGTGTTAAATATTGATGGACTTTTACGATGTGGTGTTTTCCCCCATTACTGTATGGTGGAGATACCATACAGCAGTGTTGGCAGAGGTCATTACAGCCTCTGAACTGCATCTGAACGTCACCGCTCTCCATTTCTCCACAGACGTGTGGCTCAAGATTGCCAGCAGTCGTTTTTAATAATTCAGCGCGGGTCTATTAGAATTACATTTCAGCCTTAATGTGATGAATCATTGATAAGCTCATAATAAAGGAAGAAGTCCATTTAGCTCCCAAAGGTTTTGTGCCATTAAAAATGGATATACAGACCTATTCCAATTACCATGCCACCGTTGTGCTACCGTTCACAGCTTTTTGTGAGGTAAATGACTTTTGATAAGAGAGAAATCTTTTTCTCATCAACCACCGTGTGATAATTCAACCCAGGTAGTAAAGCAAGCGGCCTCAAGGGGGCGCAGATGTTTCATGAATGCATCTTCAGATTTTGACTCCCCAGTAGAGGTGAATATTTCGTTTTTTTACATGGTAAATAATGAGTTACACGGCAGGAGTCATGTGACAGTTACATGAACTCTTAAAAATGATGCGTGTAAAGTGAAGATGACATATTAATCTGCATCTTTTGTGCAACTTTGTCCATGAACAGGTTGCTCACAGTGTCCAAAGCCTGATGCAGTTACTCTACAGTCTGCAGGTGAGTGGATTACTCAGTGTTACAACCACCGTTTTTCTCACATCCCCCTCTATATTATCACCCAGTCTGCAAGTCAACAAACACCCCCCGTATTTTCTTATTGTGAGCTGACGCATGCTAAGTCGGTGTCATACTCTGAAGCCTAAGGAGAAGATCCATCGGATCTTTTTCCTGTGATTTTGTTTCACACTCACACACTATCACTCCTCTGTGGTATAAAGTGTAAATTTGTGTAGAGAGAAAGTGTGTGTTTGCATGAGGACGTGTTGGTTTGAGTTATTTGATCACTATGACATTTTCATATTCAAAGTTGAGTATCCTTCCTTACATATGAACCAGAAAAAACACACCTCTACCACTGCCAGTTGGAACATTACAACCAGATAAAGAGATGCTGCTCCCTTATCATATAAAATTACATGGCCCCCTTCAGAGCCCGATCATCATTTCCATCACACTTTGCCATTCAAATCCTCGTCTCGCTGCCTAATGTGGTAGGTATAGTTGTGGTTGAGCCGTTGCATTTTCATGAACTCTGTGCCCTTCCCTCTCTATGCCAGGCTGCAGTGACCATCCAAGACAGCTGCTACGAGGTCCAGAGGCTCCTCCTCCGAGAGACCGGGCGCCCGTCGCCACGAGCTCAGCGACTTCACCTTCCGAGCGCCCGCGGCAACACCCTCCAAGAGCAGGAGAAGCAGCGCAACCTGGAGAAGCAGAAGGAGGAGGTGGTGGCGGCTCAGCGGCTCCAGGACCGACTGCGCCAGGAGAAGGAGCGCTGGGACAGGGAGTGCCAGGCCAAGGAAAGCCAGCAGGGGGAGCAGGAGAGCAGGCTGGAGGAGAGGGAGAGGCAGTGCCACCTGGAGGCGGAGAGGCTGCGGCGCGAGAGGGAAGAGCTGGACGAGCAGCAGGAGGAGTACCAGCAGAGCTTGGAGCGGCTCAGGGAGGGCCAGAGGAGCGTGGAGAGGGAACGCGAGCGTCTGGAGAGCCAGCAAAAGCTGCTCCAGACGTGTACGCACGGCCGCCAGAGGAGCCTGCCCACTGTGATTCCACACATGGTCATACCTCTAGATGGGCAGCAGGTAGGGGGGCAAACACAACTGACACCTCAGACAGTTTCTACTCTAGCTTTTGTTTCATCTGTGTCACTTGACAAGAGCTCTTAGTGGTTTCCGACCAACGATCTTGACCCTGACGAGAGTGTGCTGTAGATATTCAGTGTTTATGGAGTATTTCTCGGCTGCAGTCATTACAGTGAAGCTTTTCTCCGACAGCTATCATCCTGAGTTACACTCATTTACACAGAGCAGCTCAATCCCCTCTTGATGTACGACCTGCGATAATGAGAGCAATTTCAGCATCATTTGTCTTAGAGCTCCAGCAGCTCCGCTCACCAATAAACATCTTAATGATTGATGATAATTAAACCGTTGCAAATAAAAGCCCAGACGAAATAATTAAAACCAGAGGCACGCAGCCCAAGAAACCAATCAGCCGTGTCCAAAAGGGCCTAAATTATCGACACTGTTTGGAGAAAAAAAAGCACAACGGTGAAATGTCCCCTGCAGCTGGAAGGCTTGGAGAATAAAGGGTGCACTGTTCGCCGTGCCCTTTAGGTCTCAATGTACCTCACGTGCAAAAGCAGCAACGGTGAAACAAATAAAGCACATTCAGCCGTCTTTGTGCTGCTCAGTTCAGCAGGTGTGTGCCTGCTCAAAAGACGCACACAGAGCACTTGAACGGACGGACAAATGAGCAGACTCGTGTTACACCGTTCCCTCTCACCCTCATTAATCTACGCACCACCCAGGGCTCTCACGGGCGAGACGTGATGAGGTTCTCCTGTTTTTTCGTATTATTTATGTCCACATTCATCTGTTTTAGTCAGTGCATTAACAGCAGCCGTGTGACAAAGGCGTGCAGAGGTAGTGGAGGTCCTTATGTTCCCTGCTAATGTTTTAGCCAGAGGCTGCAGTTCACAGGGTCAGAGACGGATCAAATGACGTGCGCACACACACACACACACACACACACACACACACACACA